AAGTCGTATATAATACATTTTATGGAAGTCCTAATTTATTGTTACTTAGCATATAATCGTTGAAACACCCAGCTTGTCACGCATTGTCACACTTCTTCACAATTCGATGGATAGATTTAAAAAGTTACCTGCCTAAACGCTTAATTATAAAAAAAAAACAATTTACTTAGTTGATGATGGCGACCTCGATGGCCCAACGGTTTGCACTGTGGACATGTGTTTGATTCCCGGTAGAACCAATTTGGGAAATGAACTTGTTTAGTTAGTTTCCGGTATACGAGAGAGAGAGGTAGGTTACGACCCGTATATGAAATTGTTTAAAATTAAATTTGACCAAGTTCTACTGTCGCGATTTTTTCTTTCTATACAATGAAATGAGCCTTACAAGAAACTGAATCTAACAGCATTAAAAAAATTACAATATTCTTAATTTTTATGGACAACTCACGCTTGACCAAAAAATGTATTATGTCAAATTCGATTTCACAAAAAAGACCTAAGTAAGTTTATTAAGTATATTGCCCTGTATCACCTATGGTTTCGGATGTCCCCAAATTCCATTCTAGTTAAAAATCACACTGCATAATGAACTTGGCAAAGCACTTATATTGCGTCGTAGCGACCTCTCTGGATCTTAAATGTCGTTATATGACCAGGCAAGTCTTCTTCAGACAAAAACAAATCCTAAAATAGACTGCATACATCGTTGACCTTATATGCAATGCATTCTCATTTATGCGACCTAACAATAAATTATTTTTAGAATCATCGTGAATACGAATCGTATTTCAAAGTATTTTGTCACTGTAATGTTATTTTGTAATTTTTATTCAATTGGGTACCGTGAAAGTATTTTGCCTTTTAAATACATAAATCGTTTCTCGTTTCTACCATCGCACTTTCCGCCAAAGGAGTAGAGTCCATCCCCACATCTTAGATCTACTATGCCAGGGCATAGTAAGATCACGCGGCATCTCGTTCGTTCCTTCCTCGAACCTGCAAAATATGGAGTGATCTTCCTCCTAAAGTATTTTATTTGCTCTATGACATGGGGTTCTTCAAAAAGCGTTTTACTGGGCTCTCAAAGGCTTGCAACACATAGGCAGCACATCTGATGTTGCAAATGTCCATGGGCGACGATGACCACCACACTACATACATACATTTATACATTATACATTTATATATCTGGATCTGATATTTATATTCAGGATCTGGTGACACGAAATATAAACAAAGGTGACAATTAGCATTCTAGAAGGATGCAATATGATGAAGCTTTGTTTGTTTTAAGCAGCGGTAAAGCTACTTGTGAAACAGTTCGTCCAGGGAAATACTGCCACCTTACCTATGTCTGCCGCCGAGCAGTAACGTCAGCATTACTGTGTTCCGGTTTTGAACGGTAAGAGTGCTGGTGAAATGACAGGCACATGTGACTTGTCAACTTATGTCTCAGGGTGACGGGTGCAGTGGCAGTGCCCCTCAGATCTTTGCGATTTAAAGCTCTGAGTGGCACTGCAACTGTTATGGACAGGCGCGTAGCTTACCATCAGGCACACGACTTTGATATAATAATAAAAAGCCCGAAGCCGAGGGCTGGGCTCTAATGACTCGAGGTTTGTAATTTTTACCGCCCGCGCTACATACAATGTAATTATCTCATCACACTTGCGACGAAATAGGTACAATGATAATTTATTTGTTGTATGAGTAAATATCGATTCACAACGCAACATTTACGTATTTTGCATGCGGCGGGTTTCTTTTTTACAACAGATTGCCAGTTAATTCTTCCACAATAATACAACTCGAACTAAAATGTTATAAAAGGCCTTTAAAAGGCACAAACACACACAGTCACAATATATTAAATATAAAACAAATCATTTCCAAATAAAAAAAAAATACTGCAGAATTTGAATTCACAAAATAAATGTAGTAAAATCATTGACTACATTAAAATATAGTTGAATTTGGAAATGTTCAATAACGATCAAAGCCCCTTAATAGATAAATAAACAGTAAAAGAATGTTTACTTTTTTTTTCAACGAAAAAACGTTTTCCTTTTTAAATCTTGACGAAATGAAACCTTAGGGCGATAATGTAATGAAAAACCCCGTGGGCATAATTTACGACGTTACGTTCGAGTTTGCCTGCATGTCATTACACTGTTTACGAGCAAGTGTGATGAAAATAATTAATCGTCCTGACGAAGAACACATCGTGTCTTGGGTATAATAAAGCCATAGATATGTGATCAACGTCAGAAGTGTTTTTATCGCATGAAAGCCAAAAAATAATAACCACTTAAAACCAATCTACGTAATTTATACAAATTTCAAATATATATGTGACATTCTATAAACTCGAGAGATTACAACTTACAATATTTCAGGAGAGCCTGAAAAGTTGTCATTTTGTAGACAAGAGTGTAACATACTCAACTGTTTACTATAAACAAGTAACATTATCGTATATTCATCACGAGATTCTGACAAACCTTTATATACGTGGATAATGTTTGGTGATAGATGATAAAAGATAATTGTAATAGCTAATAGATAACGTACTTGCGTACTTACAGGGCTTCAAGCGGATCGCAAGACGACACAAACCTGTCACGCTGATTGGAATAAGAAAGAACGGGTTGCTCCCCAAAAAAGAATTTATTGTAAGTACTTATTAATTATAAGGTGTGCCAACACCAAACCAAAGCTAATTCTAATATTTACTAGCAAAGTTACCGCTTTTAGAAAACTCATATTATTAATATTATCTATTACTATAGCCAATGGTATATGATTGATAGATATAGAAACTAGTAGCACAGTATTACAATATCCTCCCTAGAGTAGCGCAACGCCTTTGAAATTCGTGCGATTCCGTCACTCGCGTAGGTACTTGCGCTGTAGTATATAGATGTGCAAGGGTTGTCACATAATGAAAAAAAAATATGATTATTATTATAACGTTTATACAAGTACGAACATTCGTTGCGCAACTGTATGATTTGTAAACTGTGCTAGTAGTGTCCCTATCTACCAACCCGAGAGATAGGGTTTTCCGGAGAGACTACGGGCTCGACGGCAAGACCAGGGTTCAGGGGGCGTCCGGGCCAAGTCCTCCGCCATTGATACGCCTCTCTGTCCGACCCGGACTTGGGTATGGACTCGCTGGGGTTTGTGATTAGCTGCGGAGACGGACATGTTTGTCTGCCCCGGTTGCATGTGGCCGGGGTGTCTGTCTCGTGAGCAGCTAGAGCGTCTTAGTAGCGGTCTAGTTGAGGGCCTGAGACGAGCAGAGGCGCCGGGTACGTGAGTTGCCCTTTAAGTTGGAAGATATGTCCGGACATTGTCGCAGGACACTGCGACTGGCATCGCCGGCACTAGCCCGGAGAACTAGTAAAGGATAAGCTAAATATCATCCAGTCCCTCCAGGCGCTTAGGTTATTGGGAACTGGAGAGACGTCGTTTTTCGGCCTCGGGAAGTGAGCGTGTCTTACAGCTCCGCCACCAATGAGGAGATTTGGTAGTGGACTCAGAGTCGACGGCTTAGCAGTGGCAACTGCTAGTTGTGCAATACGCAACGGGAAGTGAGCGTGCCTACAGCTCCGGTACGTGCACCTGGGGCGGCTCACCCTGCCCTAGCCTCTCGAAGAACCGGATGAAGTCAAGTGACAGAGGTTTGCGAGAACCCTGTACACTGGCTGATCTGGGTTCAGAACCTGAACTTGCAAGGTTCCTGTGCGCTCTTCCGTGTGTCCTAAAGGTAGGTTCGACAACGGCGTAAAAGTTCTTTTTAGAAGTGGTAGTTTGTTAAACCGGAATAACAACAGTCCTCTTAATTTGTGTGTAAAATCATACCTGCTTTCGCATTATTGTAGTTTTGTTTTTAATACATTAACACAACGGTAAAAGGATAATACATATATAGATAAGCTATTCTTATGAGGTACTTTCACGTGCTTTCTTCCTTTCATTCTTTTTTTCATTTCTTCCTTTCAGGTTCATAGTATATCTTAATAAAACTGGTATTCCACCCTTAAGAGTCGATACTACTTCAGCTCGAATTCAATTTTTACCGTTTCTTTTGCGTGGGTGGAACGGCGAAATTAAAGTTTGTAATTTTAATACAGTAAATAGCTTTAAGTCAGAGCTACCGTATCAATGAATTTAATGAAACTATCTTCCTGCAGCTCAACGACATGAAGGATTCTTCAGAAGTAGCCGAGTTGCAGTCGCCCTACAATGATATTAGCAATTTTTGGCTTAATGGACCTGAACGCTGAAAAAAGAATTTTGAAATTTGCATGTGAAGGTACATACAAATTAGTAACAATAAAAGCTTTTGTCATAAGCTGGAATGTATTTCATTGACTTACTATTGCAATTGTGTGCATGTTGCACCGAATGGTATTTATGCAAAAAATAAATAAAAAGTACTTATTATATTCGTCATCCATTAAACTTATTTAAGAAACCCGTTTTCATTTTATATGTGTTGCTGAAATCTCTATAAAACCTTGTATAACTATAAAATTCAAAGCAATAACAAATGTAGAAACAATGTTGCAGTATAGATTAATATGTTATTGAATAAAAGTTTGTCTACAATTTTTGTATTCGTTTTTATTTTCCGTGTCAATGCCTCCGAAAATGAATCTAACAGTGAATCTGATGAAGATGACAAACTAAAACAGGCTTTGGTTTTGGTTGAAATACTCAAAAAAGGTTGGTAACCATCTAATGTTGGTGGCAAAGTCTCAGATTGTGTAAAAAAATGAGTTTGTTTATGCAGAATACTTGACGCTGCTTCAGTCACAACATGTGATACAGCAGCAACTGCAGCAGCTGCAGCAGCAGCACGTGGAGTCAGTCACAACTACCGAAGTACTACCTGCAGTAAATGATGCCACACTTGAGGCAAAGCCAGAACATCAAGCTGCCGTTGCAAGTAAGGAATATAGGTGACAGTACATTAGTAGGAGCACGAAGACATATTTTTCTTTTTGGTCCTACTGGTAGGAGCACGAGGAAACGGCCATTTATTTCCCATTCTTTTCCATTTCTTATGTTCCTGCTTACTAGCCTGTTATAGTTGCAGTGACGTGGCCATTACGCGTTTCACAAAAATATTTACTGTTGTTACTGTAAAATAATTTTTCATTTTACAATTTCAAATTCCAAAATTCAATCTCAACTAGGCCATTGACGATAAATGTTACCAATTTTATACCCAATGTACAATAGGTTGTGCTTTCAACTGATCAGTCGCTGACTTAACGTCCAATTATGTCTACTTGCACTAAAGTTAAATACGTCTAAAACCGATGCTTGCAGTGCAAAAGCACTCTTAATGCATTGTGTTAAGAGTGTCTTAATGAAATTTTACATCCTATATTTAATTTCTACCAAAAATTATACGGAGTTGCATATCCATGGCATACGTTTTGGCCAATAGATCGCCGAAGTTACTTAGAAGCACCAATTTTAGAGTAATTTTTGCTTGAATAGGCCACTGACATAAATGTTACCCATTTTATACCCAATGTACATTGACTTTTTATTTGTAAGTCAATGTCAATGTACAATAGATTGTGCTTTCAACTGATTAGTCGCAGACTTAAACGTCCAATTATGTCTACTTGTATATTTGTATTAAGTTAAGTACTTATGTCTAAAACCGATGCTTGCAATGCAAAAGCATCTTAATGCATTGTGTTGAGTGTCTTAATGAAATTTTACATCCTATAATTAATTTCCACCAAAAATTATACGGAGTTGCATATCCATGGCAGACGTTTTGGCCAATAGGTCGCCTAAGTTACTTATAAGCACCAATTTTAGAGTAATTTTCGCTTGAATAGATTATAATTTAGGAAGTAAATACTTATAGTCTATAATATTGTGTTTTGGTCATTAAGTTGCGTGGAAAAAATCGTTTTTTTTAAATGTCTCACCTGCTGTTGCTCAATGAATGAAAGCAACTTGTGTCGTTCATAAATACCAATTATGTTAGTATTGTATTTCATAATAATATGTCCAAAATTGCTTCTCAACGACTTAAATCAATGTATACGTCAATACAACGATGTTTTCCGAGGCCCTAAATTATAATTATATTAATAGTATAATTATTGTTCATGTCTATGAGTAACAAATAAAAATACAGTCAACGCAAGGTAGCTGCTGTACAATGTACAGCTTAACGGGATGCTGTTATGTGTCGGTAAGTATGATGGTGATGAGACCACTCTCTTTCAATTCGGAAAATATTATATTGAACGTAAACGTGAATTACCGTGTTACACTCGGTTATTATAGGGTGGCATGGATCGTTAACTCATCCACATATTGTTTACTAAGTAATATCTATATGTATATTTTATTAACAAATATTTTTCAGAATATTTAAGGCGCGCGGAATCGAGTCAAGGTATACCCGGTAAGTGTAAATTACCATCTGAATATCGTGAAAAAAAAAATATTGCGTACAATTTGGTCAGGTAGATACGAGTAGTTTGTGTCTACGGAAAAGCTGTTTAGGTTCATGCACTGAACTTAGCTTAGACTTAATTTATTTTATAGGGTTATGGAAAACTCACACATGCTCAAAAATTTTAACTACTATACCATTATGGTTAAATCTCTCACTAGATGTCACTAGCGCGACGAATGCCGAATGCCAGCACAAAGATCTATAACAAAAATACATAGGAGAATTTTGACGGCTCGGTAACTGACCCCATAGCTCAATTGGTTAGAGCAATGCTACTACTAACTACGGTGCAGCATGGACGTGGGTTGAAGTCCCACCGGGTCGACAAAAAATTTTTCTCTGTGTTCGATCTTTGTATTCAGAATCATAACAAATTTAGTGGAGTTATTTCACAAAAAATTTCTATAAATACTTATACCATCGTTCTTTCTTTAAAAAAGATCTAAAGCCGTTACATAGGTAGGTACCTTAGACTTAGAGGATGGAAAATAATAGTAGTTTATGTGACTGTTACATAATGAAAGGCGTTATAAGACGAGTGAGGGTTTATCATAAAAACGTCTCACATACACAGTTACATACACTGCTTTATCTATACACATATTATAAGCTCTCTGTGATGTGTTCAGGAACCGATGTTACGACTAGCGAAATGGCGGTAAATAAAAACTTTTCTCACGCATGTCACGCAACCATAGTTTTTATTTTTAATTTATAGACAAACTAGAATCGGCCTCAACTATCATATCGTTCGATATCAAGTAACGTGTGAAATTCTCAAAATTGTTTGCTATTGACATTTCATTTCGAATAAAACTTCATCTCGACTGATATTAGAATTGAGGTCCAATCAAATTGTTTTGTTTTTCAGAGATGTTCGAAATTTGAATGTAATAATAACATCGAATTCGATGTTAATAATGGAGCAATATGTCTATGTGCAATAATAATATTTTCACACATAAGAAATTTGTTCTAACAAAACAGTTTACCTTTACATAATTTGCGTTTTTTGACAATATTATAGAGTTTATGATATGTGTGTAGATAAAGGTCTAAGTTATGTACAAAATAAATAAGGTATACATGCATTACAATGTCAAGAGTACGTCATATTGACACTTTAGACAATTTAAATTCGACTCTATGCCCGCGATAAGTACCACCCGAAGTCCAGAGCAGGGTTGTTGCTGATGCAGTTTTTTTACACACCAGCTGATAGTGATTTTATGTTTAAAAAAATCGTGAAAACTGTACTGATCTATTATCAAATCCACTTACATGAAAAAGCTTTTTCAATGAAAAAGAAACTATTTTTCCGGATTTAAATCGCGTATATTTGTTTTTTCAAACAAATCGACGTTTCGGCCCCTTTACAGGTCCCATGGTCACGGTCAAAAAAATTAACCTGCTTTATAATCAAATAATCAATCAGCCTGCCTATCATTTTTTTATTTGAAATATATAAAGCTACAAGTTCTTACTCACTGATACAAATAGAACGCATATTTCCCGATATGATGGAAAAAAGTATATTTATACCGTTGTACGCGGATAGGCTCCAAAGCAAACAATGAAATATGAGAGGACCTGAATATGGAAAATATGAAAGAGTGATCAACGGCCTGCAAAAACTATAATACATGGGGGGGGATTATTGTGCATTTTATGAGATACATCCTGGTTAATTTCCGCGGCAACTAAAAAATGTTCGAAATTCAAATAAACAAGATGGCCGCCATACAAATTTAAAAGCCTCCTATCACGGAAACTATTAGAGATAGGTAGGAGGTGCTCGAAGGAATGTCATAGAGGGTAATACTGGTCAACTTCCTGGGTTAAAAAAAATTCAAGATGGCGGCCGAAGAAAAACTTGCTTCGATCCGGCTGAAAATTGACATGCAAGGGTCTTAAAGAGTCCTTAATCACAATTTGGGGTCAAAAATTTATTTTCGCCATTTTTTAATATGGCTGCCATATATGTGCTTTTTTCGTTAAAAATAGCTGCCGAAAGAGATTTGCTCTGATTCGACTGAAAATTGACATGTGAAGGCCACTAGAAATACGGATAATAATTTGTGCTCAAAATTTGTTTTTCGCTATTTTCAAATATGGCCGTCATAGAAGCGTTCGTTGGCGGCAGAAAAAAAATTACTCAGATCCCCTTGAAAATTGGCATATCTCTAGGAGTGCTTGATAATAATTTGTGATCAAAATTGGTTTTTCGCCATTTTTACGGCCGCCATACCAACTCTTTTAGCTGCAGATAAAAATTTGCACTAATTCGATTGAAAATAGACATGTCGGGGTCTTTATGAGTGTTTAATAATAATTTGCGGTTAAAATTTATTTTTCACCATTTTTCAATATGGCTACCATACAAACTTTTTTGGCGATAGATACAAATTTCTTCTAATTCGACTGAAAATGACATGGCATCATAATTTGGGGTAATAATTTTGTTTCCGCTGTTATTCGATATAGCCGTAATTTATTTATGTACTCGTAACTTGCTTTGCTCGGACTGAAAATTATCACGAAAAGATTTCTAAGATTGCTTGATAATAATTAGTGGTCATAATATATTTTGTGATTTTTAAATATAGCCGTCATTAAAGAGCTATTTAATTTTTTTTAAAGCAAAGTCCTAAGTGCCGAGGCCGCAGGCCTAGGTCCGCGGAGGGCGAAGCCCGAATCGTCCGCACGCCTTCGTATGGAGGTAATTATATACGGAGGCGTAATAGATCACGAGTACAAGATCTCACAATTGTAAAAATGTAAGACATACTTTCCGATGTAGTGGAAATGAGATACTTATCATAGCGTTGTTGTATCTCAACCATGTCTGTTAGATTGCATTTTCTTGAAAACTATGCCAAAGAGAAGTATTTAGGGGGAAAAAATGCCAAACTACTGCCGAATTTCCTGTACTATGAATACCAAAACAACGATAATCCAGAATAGTCAGACCAAAACCAGCTTAGAAATATTCGTTTCTTAAATTGGCGCACATCGGGAATCGACCTCCTCATCAAGCGCCCATAGTACTAACTGCTGTGCCACCGAAGAGCATGAGCATACCCCGTAAACTGAACCCAACCACACCCCGCAGGCCGAGCCCGACCCCAACCGGGTAGGTGGGGTACAGGGCTCGTCTTATATATACTGACATTTTCTCAAAGGTAAGAACTGGGGGCCTACCATAACCTTTCCAAAAACAATCTTATTTCAATGTAAGCTTAAAGTAAGCTTATTATAATATTACTCATATTCGTATCACGACAAATCTGTCAATCAAGTAATGCATTAATGCATTATTGCTAAAGTGATTGAAAGAACGAATGATTTCCCAATATTGTCTATTCCTTACTAAAAATAGGAAAGAAATAACGCTATATGAAGTATATAATGCCATCTCTTTCTTTTTTGATGTTCCGAATCGTCTTATCGTAGTATAATGTTTAAGTACCTACTTAATATTATTAATGTTATCCGTGGTCTCTGCCTACCCCTCCTGTGGGACTAGGGCGTGAGCTTATTTATGTTATTTACATTCAGAGAATTGTACCTAAATGTTAAAAAAAAGAAAAGTATGTAATAATAAAATCTATTAAAATTACGTTGTTGTCTATTATTTTTCCGCATTTTCATGAAGAAAAATAAATAAAACAAGCTGTTTTAATAATTACGTTGTAAATTCGGAATTATAGTCTAGTGGCAACTGTTAGTGTCGCCAAAGCGCATATAGATCACTGTTATAATTTTACGAAATAAACGTCGCGTATTTTTATCAAATAAAAAAATAAATAAAATATTTAAGAGATTTATGTAAATAAATAAGTTCAATGCAACTTTTAATAATTAAAATCTATATTTAGACAAAAATAATATTGTTTCCATTGCCTCCGAGCAACTATTTTAAGATTGCTAAATTTGACATAATGAACAATATTACTTCGTTGTTACAGTCGCGTCATGGTACGAACTGAGTGAATGAATAGTCACAAATCTGCCAATAAAACATTATAATAAGCTTACTTTTATGCGTGTCAGAGTACGAAAATTGTTTTTTAATACAGTTGCTCAAAACGTGGTATTTTTCGTACTACAAATCGTGCCGAAAGTTGTACTTTTCGCACTAGTGCTTTTTACTTTTCCATTTTCTTTTATTAACTGTTGTTTCAAGTCTCAAATATAGAACTAAAGAGGTTGTATATTTATTTAATATTTATGTACTTTCTGACGTAAGTCATTTGTCATTAAAACTTATATTTACTTACTAACATCTTAATTGTTTAAATTGCATAGGTGTTTTATAAAACAGCGGGTTACACTTAGAATAATAACGCATAGAATGATAGTTTCATATCAAACGAACTGTCACAAGTGAGGCAAAAATCAAATTCATGTAGGCTATTTTTAGTAGTAGGTTAATTTTCGGTTTTGATGAATATTTATATAAAAATACAAGTTGAAACGCGTTACTTCCTTGTGGAATATGATGTTAGTATCTATTTTATGTTTGTCTGACGTATTTTTACACTCAATTACCGCACATTTCGTCTTTTTTAGCTAAAATTCTTGGTCTGTTCGCGGTGCAAGTTGACCTTGAGCACTGAAGGCCCGCCCGCCCATGTAGGCCCTTTGGGCGCACTTCAATTTGCCTCACTTAGCGTGTGCGGACTAGGTTTCTATGCGTTATTATTCTAAGGGGTTACATTTAAAAATACCAAAATATTTTCCATAAAGATGGCTGATTGAGTATTAACAATGACCGGAGGTGAGTAATACGCGAGACCGCTGCGCGCCGCGCCACTTAAATAGTAATTTGAATGTGGCTGAATATTGGCAACAGTTTCCACTGTACTCTGAATTTTTAACAGACAAAGAAATAAAATGAGTTTTTTTAAAATACTGTTTTATTTTACTTTCAATGTAGTTTTTTCGCAAATGTAATAAAAAATGTCGTTTCATACACGTACGGATTTGTCATTTTCACTTGTCTCGAGTCTTGACCCTCGCCTCTGGCTCGGGCCAAGAAGCCTCGAGTTTCGAGAATAATGACTAACTTTCCACACTTGTATCAAAAATAACTAGCAAGAAGGCTGGATGGTTTGTAAATTAATATCACAACGCATATATCCGCAATGAATATCAGCTTCAATCAATGCGGAGGCTGAGGCGGACGCGGTTATTTTAATGTATGCGGATTATCCACGGATGCGGATGCTGATATGCGCAATAACCCTGGTCCAAAGTGTCAACATTGAAGTGTTCTTGACTGTACCTAAGACAGTTTCCCTGTGTCTATTCTATAGGTTCGGATTTCTCCATATAGTTCTAATTAAAAAAATATATAGTACCGACATCAATTCATTGACCGACTTATTTTATGAAAATGTAGCAGATACTACACAATGTTATTAATGTTATTTCTAGGTTTGCTAAACGGAAGACGTGCAAACAAGGTCCCGATTGGTATGAAAATTTGTTTGTTAAATAAAACACAATGATGCGTGTCCTGCTGTGATTAAGGAAAATACCTTTCGAACTGTTGGTTCTACTAGTGGATCCAGTACGATTTTGACAGTACTCATGTCTCCACTACACAACATGGGTGGATCTATTATGATTTGTGAATACTTTTTATTACTTTTACACTTTTTAGTAGCAGTTCGTCCAAGGTAAAAAAAAAGAAAAAAAAGATAGTACTGCCACTTTAACCTTACCTATTTCTGCCGCCAAGCAGTAATGTCAGTATTACTGTGTTCCGGTTTTGAAGGATAAGGGTGCTGGTGAAATTGCAGGCACATGGGACTTGTGAACTTATGTCTCGGGGTGACGGGCACATTGGTAATGACCCTCAGATCTTTCAGGCGCACGACTTGTTCGTCCTGTCAGTTGATGTTATAAAAAAAATACTGAAATTATATAGGTCGAGAGCACGATTCAACTTACGATAACGGTCTACAAGTAAATAAAAGTGAGGGTAAAAAGTCCAGAGTGGTTAAACGTACCAAACATGTCTGTTAGATTTTGTGCACTATTCTAAGTGCATCTGCCTATACTTATGTGATTTACCTTTTGCAGATAAAGTATGGAATAAGAAATTTTTGGCAAATTACAGAAGAGCTCTGTCAGAACCAGGTATCTCCATATTTATCTTATCTTTGAATCGTCATAAAATATTTAATATTGACGAGAGGATAATGTCAGGACCGAATTTTATTTAAGTGCCTTGGTCGAGCATTTGTGGACCCTTCTCTTATGAAAATCTGTCACTATTATAACCGCAAGGTGTGCCTCAAGCGTTTACAATTTTGAATAAAACTGAAATACTGGTACTGATACATCGAATAAAAACACGCAGTAGTAATGGGAGAGCAGCGATGTCAGAAAATTTAAGTATTTCCATGATAATTTAAATAGCCATGCCTATGACGAACCGCAAACATAAATTAATGTCGTTTAAGTTAAATGCATTATGTTTCTTTCGATATGAGTAAAAAAAGGTGAGAAGTTAGAACCTTTTATTGTATCTAAACTTTTATACGATTACAGTTAATGAGACGATGGAAAAAACAAATATGCCTGATGATAACAAAGGAAACGATGCAGTCAATATGGTTACCAATAAAACAGAAAATGTGTCATTTAATACAACAGCAAGACATACAAAGGAAAAGCAAATTCACAAAGCTACTGTAAATAAAATAAAAAATGTCACTAGAGCTGTAAGAAATAAGAAACTAACCAAAAATTCTGTCAAAAAGCGTAAATCTCCAACGCCTAAAAATAGTAAGTAAGTTGTAAAGTAGTACATTGAGTGTAGGTACCCACAGCAATGAAACAACGTAATTTGCTAAATTTCCTGACATAGTATGTAAACGATTAGAGGACCCCTGCCGCTTGTCTAGTTGTAGGGCGTAGGTTATTATGCATTTTTTTTACTGCTTTTATTTATTTACTTTTATTATTATTATTAATTAGATACGCACTAAGCCTCTCCCTTCTGCCCACATCATTCCGCCACCGTTAGCTGTATTGGCAGATATTGTAAAATGGCTATATATACCTAATGTTATCCGGGTATAGATATATTTAAAAGAAATACGTTTACAGAACCTGTACTAAGAGATGCGACTGACGTTAATCCTGATGATAATGACAATAATAAGCAAAATGCAGCTGAGGTTCATCCTGAAGATAATGGCAATATGAAGCAAAATGCGACTGAAGTTAACCCTGAAGATAATGTCAACAAGGACCAAAATGTGACTGAGGTCAAGACTGTAGATAGTGCCAATAAGAAGCAAAATACGACTGAGGTCAAGCCTGAAGATAGTATCAGTAAGAAGCAAAATGCGACTGAGGCCAAGCCTGAAGGTAATGTCACCAAGGATCCAGTTATGGATCAGATTGCATCTGAATTAGACAATGAGCTGAATGAGGATGGTGCAACTAAATTGTATAAGAAAAAACTGAGAACTCCACAAATAACTAAAAACGCATTCTTGGATATCAGACCCACGTTAAGAATTCACTTAGCTCGTAGTACCAGACTTCCGATACCTTTCTCTGAAAATAATGCGTTCTGTTACTATGCTCCACGTTCACCTCTATGTATTGGGAGATAACAAAGAGCAATGTTTTAGTCATTTATAACCCGATAACTGGATTTCGTCTCCATTGTTCCGAGATTTCCAAAAATGTCTTGTCTGCTGCAAAGCGACAGTGTAACACTACCCGTTGCGCTTGATGATTCCGTGATAAATTTTGATATTAGGTACGTGTTATGGTAACTTTCGAACGCTATCATGACATATAGACATATACAGATACCTTCTTGAGAGTTTTTATACAAAACGTACGATGGCGATATTGGCTGCAGCGCATAAGCCGAAGTTTGTTTAATTGTCTTTGTTATCGGACTTTGTAACTATTACGGAATAATTAAAATTAAAGTCAAGCCCTATTCTCTAGTTTGTTTCGATAACGTGCCGTGTTGTTGTTGATAAGGTTACTCCGTCGTTCGACTATGCATATAGTGTTAAATGAAAAGGTATTTATTAATTAACTTGCTTAATTTCACCATTAGCTGTCAATGATTTCACTCTAGTGAGTGCATCAAACATTACAATACTTAGGTATTTTTAAAGATTAATGAGCCAGCAGCCAAGAGCGCAACAAAATTGTAAATACTGATAAGTCATTTCTATAATCTGTACAATACACTTACCGAATGCTGTTTGCCATCTGATGTTTTATTAAATAAATAAGGCACACACCCATAGCTCCGAACTAGCGAAACCCTGTGTCGCGAGCGTGACTTATTCCAGCGTGACAATGGCTGAGTTTTTGAAATTTGACTAACCAGACAAAAAGTCGCTATTTAGTCGGTTCTAGTCCCAAAAAACTAGATTTAGTTGGTTCGCTGTTCAAAAATTATAAAGGTACTTTACTGTCCACCCTGGAATAAGTTTGTTCCGGCGGCACCATTTTTTAATCTCGAGAACCACAGCTCCTAGCTTAGATCTAATTCCATCCAGAAAAAGTCATGAATTAGTCAGTTATAGTCGCAAAATTTTAGAATCAGTCGCTCCTTTGTTTAGAAGATATTGGATATTCAATTATTCCCCGAACGCTGTAACTTGGACCTTTTCAAGGCGAGAGTGAATAGGTATTATTTTAGGTGTGCATGCTACATTGTCAACCTCAACACCGCTTTCCATCAGGTGAGATGGAGGTGAAATGCGCACTTATTTTTGATAAAAACAAAAATTCTCATCATTTAATGTAGCGTTTCCGATTAGATTTTTTTATAACAATCGATTTTATTTGAAGAAGCTTAAATCGTGACTGCGGGCGGGTTCAAAAAAAGGCCATTGCCTTATCGAATCCGAATATCTACTGAATTTTTAGAGTCACAGTTAATAGTAACACAAATTGTAATTGAAAATGACTTGCGCTATAAATTATAATAGTCCTCAGTCGGTTAGTCATTATTAAATTTCCTTCGGTACAATCGGTCTACAATTAATTTATTTATTATTAAATTATTCTGATCAATAGTCGTACGCAACTGTATTCCACGAGTCTTGTTCGTCGCGTGTAAGCCAGGAGCCCAACACTGCCCTCGTAACGAAAAAAGGCACAACTATGTGTACTTTATACAGCAGTTGTGCCGTTTTTCTACTAATAAATATCATGACAATCGGTAAATCCCAAGGAAGAAAGAAAATAGCATGTATTTCAAAAAAAGTTAATAACAAATTGTATATTATGGAAAAATTTACGTGAGCTCCGAATCTAACACAGGTATAACCTTAAAATATTAAATCGGTGTATCTTCTAAACAAAGGGGCGACTAATTCTAAAATTTTGCGACTAGAACCGACTAATTCACGACTTTTTCTGGGTGCAATCAGATCTAAGCTAGGAGCTATGGTTCTCGAGATTCAAAAGTGGTATCGCCGGAATAAGCTTATTTCAACATGGACAGTAAAACACGCTAATAACTTCAAAAAAGCGTAACGATTAAATCTAGTTTTTTACGACTAGAACCGACTAAATCACAACTTTTTTTAGTGTAATTGAGAAATATACCGCTGAAATAAGCTTATTCCAGCGTGGACAGTAAAATACCCTTAACTTTTGAACGGCAGACGGACTAAATCTAGTTTTTTGCGACTAGAAATAGCGACTTTTTCTGGCTAGTCAAATTTCAAAAACACATTGACAACCACAAAGTACAAAACTCATGCGAGAAATAAATGTAGGCCATACAAATATTTCTCCCGGCCCGGGAATCGAACCCTTGACAGATGCGTGGCAGTCCAGCATGGTAATCGTTCATGCACGGAGGCAGTTTAAAATCTTATACTACCTGAGATAATATCTAAAAATGTCTAACACGAGTAAGTATATTTTTTGTGACTAAGTAGGTTTATCTGTTATGTATTAAAGTATGACTGACTTTTCCGTTTATATTCTTAAATGTTATTCCAGTGATTTTTAATTACCTGTTCAACCATAGATTTGATATACTAAATCTATGTGTTCAACATAGTAAACCGTATCAGAGATTGTCAGATAATATTCTGTCAATAAAAGTCAAAAGACCATCATGCATTATTCAGGGATCGGAATAGGTAGTTTTTTACCTAAACTTTAAGGAACATAAGACAGAAAATGGAGACTGCCTTACGACAATTTTTTTAGGTCCTGGACCTTTTCAGGATTCGGTAAATTACTTAAGAATATAAAAAAATTGACGTAATTGGGGGCAGGCAGGTACAATATATTTATCTTAACTTTGCGACGCAGTGGGTCGGATCTGCGATATTGCGGACATTGGATTTTTTTTCACGATACCTCTCTAAGAAAAATGCCAATCGAGATCCTATTGCCCTAATTATCATAATAATTGCCCTAATTGTCGTATCACATTTTGCCACAAATCGAATAGTTTAGTAGGAAAAAGATTAATGTCATTAATGTATATATTTTTTGTATGGGTCCGCAACTTTAGTGCCCCATCATTACAGTCTTAATCGAGCCTGTCTTAGAATCACTACAGACGTATTATTAGACCTACCTTCTGTAGATTTGCACACTAAACGCGCGCTCAAACCTACATAGCTGGGCTGTCATAGTAGGTATATTATTACTTGTGTATTTACACAAGTAAAAATTACTACTATGGCACTTTTATATTTTCCACATTTAGGTCATCTCTTTATTTTTCCACCATAATAATATGGGAAAATATTTATAACAATAATAATAGAATCGGGCTAAGAACAGAGCCATAAGCTCAGTTTATATTGCGGCGGATCGGAATGGAAGCGAATTTTTGTAATGATATTATAATGGCATAATTAAATTTATGGTCAATTGTGTAACGTCTAACTAGATACGTGCCAAAATCTTCCGCGGAATTCTCACGCATGCTTGAGAATGCTCGCGTATCTAGTTTGTACATTACACAATTGACCATAAAGTTCATTACGTTATGTATGTATGTACGTACGTACATTATCGTTACAAAAGTTAGCTTCCGTTCTGTACCGCCGCAATATAAATTTTGAGCCTGAGCGCCCAGTTACACGACGGGGAAAGTTGTCGCGCGGTCACCGCCTCATCACGTTTTTACGGATCGTGATGTTTTTTTATCGTCTGACGACTGTCGTACTAGCTGTTCCCACTGTGACGACAGTTTGTCGTTGTAACGATAAAAAATCGTGAACGACAGTAAATCATGTCGTGCCATATGTGAACTTCATTTAAATATACAAGCCACGACACAGTAAACTACACTGTCGTCACGACATAGTGGGAACGCACCCCCATATCTACTACATCCATAATTATCGTCAATAATTAGGAAAGGGCGCTTCTGAATCTAATTGACTATACAGTCATTGTCAGGTACAAAAGTAACAAAACCGTTTATTTTTTCCATTTTTATTACGTTAAGAAACCTAATTTTGACAATTTCCATTACTATGTTTAAAATAGCATTCTTATACTATGTTGAATTTCGTATTCAATTTAAATTCAGTTCCCAAAAACATGCACAAAGATAATTATCATATTCATTTAGTAATATTGAGGTAGTTATTAGTTTCAGAACTTATACCAATTACAAAATGGTCCAAAAGTAACAGTAAATTCAAAGAAAACTTGTGGAATAAGTATCTGCTCAATAAATCCAGAGTGAATCAATTCGTTTCCTGAAGAAAAAAAATACAATAGAATGTAATGTAAATATATTGGACATCGATACATCTGAGAAGCAACAACAACAGCTTCCCTATCTAATATAATGTATAGCGCATTGTGGAGCTGTGTGGCGTCGTGAGGTCGCGCCTATCTCACCCGGTAAATCAATATCGTTTGACGGATAAGGCGCGGCCCTACAAGCCGCAATGCGCACCGCGCACTCCACGTCGCACGCGCACCACACTGATACACAAAATATGAATACATACACATTACATAAACACCATAGACTCGATGAAACGTCAATAGTACATTATATTGGAGGGGTGTAACGTACGACAAACAACAGAATAAGTGCTCCATTTCCCCGTAAAATAAATTAACAATTAATTGAATTGAACCAACCATATTACAAAACTGCAATACGAGCTCGTTCTCTAAAAGCAACAGTTAAAATAATTGTATTAATCATAATATTCCAATCACATAAGAAACTATTTAAAATACAATCATGCAATCATGCACATAAAAAGAATTGATAAATTCATTCGAACACACGCCAAATACAAATTGTGGTTACACACATGAGAAAGTAATATTAGAATGTAATGCAAATAACAGTAGAACCATGAAACAAGAATGATAAAAGTAAATATTACTAGCGAGAATGACATGTAAGTAATGGGCGCGGGGGCGCGACGGCAGGGGTGTAATTCAGTCTCGTAGCCGCACGCCGCCCGCGCCTACCCTCAACTTAACACTACTTCACAACGATACAATTAAACAACTAAACTATTTCTGCATCCTAACACATTACAAATCATAATGTACCCTCTCAAGCTTACTTTTGGAAGGATTAAACAACATGCCTATAAATGTACCATATGTACACTCTTCGGCCGCAAATTCGGAACCGCGGCGCGTATAACGGGGCGTCGTTTGGAGCGTACACGGTGCGCCACTGAATATACCGAATTGTGATTCGGTAACAGCATTTATAGTATACATTTAAGCGTCCTGCTCAGTGAACGGGCGGAGCACAGTAGCACGGTGGTTCACCTAAAGTATTTAAACACGTTAAGGCGTTTTCGATTAAGCGTTTGAAGATTGGAGTGCTTTCGCATTTCGACGAGAAACTGACGATTTGAAATCCGACTCTGGCCGTCTTTGCACTTCTCTTATTATCATTTCGAACTACATTATGACACGAGACTATTGCAGAAGAATCACATTCACAAATTAACCTTGAAAGGAAAAGGTTATTAATTTGCACTATTATTAGTACGTAACAATATAACCAAAAATATTAAACCACATTAATTTAACTACTTATTTAATCCGTAAAATGTATAACCTCAAAATTCTATAACTATTATACTGTCGTTACAAACTGAGATTAAAAAGGACAGTATTATCACAAAAAACATAGTAGAAGTCGTTATTCTGTTTTCAAACAAAATAAAACAATCTATGTAGCGTCACTGTGAAGATGACTAAGCGGCAGAGTCTGATTGGTCAATAGATTAAACGCCCCGCTCTAGCGAAACTAGTCGCGTGCACGCTGAACGTCAACAACGACAATCCACGCTCAATACGAACTTTGAACGTCCCGTCGAACGCCCTGCAGGTGCGAATTTGCGGCCTTCCTGTCACAGTGAAAGTAACCGTTTAGTAGACTCCATCTGAAAGCCGATGCAAGCGGAATCTGGCTGTGTGAAAAGGCCGGCGGACGGCGGAAGGTGCGGAAGTCAGCACCGGCCCTGTAGACACTATCTGCCGCCGTTAACACATGGCGCAAGTTAATTAGAGGTCCAACTGCTTAGTCCACAGTGGTGAACCATTTAGCCGTGGTCCGCCCAATGGAATAAAACCAGAAGCAACAATATTGAGATCACATTTGGTTTTGCATTGGAAAAGCTACATTAAAATTATTTTTCAACACCATTGCTCGTAATTAGTAGTGCAACGCGAAACAAAACATGGCGGAATTTTTATAATACGGCCCCAGAATGGGAATGGTTTTTCTTTAAATTTCCCCAATGACCCCAAAACGCAGTGATTTCGATATATATCAAAACGGATCGTAAATAACTGTATTTACAGTAGACTATACACAGTAGACCTATGTCCGTCGGCTGTACCAAGAGGCCTAAGTTCTTGCTTGCATACGTAACCTAATTGCTGAAGGGCTTATGTCTCTTGCTCCTACCTTTCTATCAGCTGCTGATGATAAAACTGCCCAAGGTCATTCAAGGTGGACTAAGCAGATGAATCACGCGTAAGAAGGCAATTACCCTCCTCTTGTCTAGTGGTGTCTTTACACGTCTATATATAGTTTTCAAGTGAAACACTTATATTTAACATGAATTCAATATAGTAAGGTAAATCCGGCCAGTTTTAAATATATTGTTCCCTATTGGACAAGGCGGTGATAGTACGTACGATCCTCTCCAGTTTGCTGAGCGTCAGAATCGTGCAGACCAAGGCTGCTTAGACACAATTAAACATGAAAATAAGCCATAACTTTATAGACATTTGGTAAGCCGTTCAACAATGAAAATATCTCACATACTCTCGCCGCCAACGCGATGTGATCGGGATTTATAAAGCCAGTGATACACATGCGCGTTATGCGTACAAAAAGTATACCCGTGACAAATTGTATGCTACTGACATGGTATTTATATTTGGCCAGCTAAAAGCACGCGTACGCCAGTGTATAGCAAGTGATGATAGGATATCGAAAGCCGTTGCTTAGTAGCCGTAATGCTCGACCCACACCTCTTGCTAGCCATGACATGTGTATCATCGACTATATTTACAGTGATTAGAAAACTTAGTCATAACACGATTCATTATTTTTGACCAAATAGATGTAATCGGTCAGTACCAATTAATCCAAATGCCAAAATTTTATCACAAGTGTTTCATTTATTACAAAGGAACACGTTGATTCTTAAGGTGTTATGTAAACATGGAATGTAATAATTATGTATTTTAAAATCGACTTTCAAACAAATACAGCTCTGTTTGACTGTAGTGACTCCATGAACCGCTACCATAAGCGCTCGTCGATTGTTTATACCTTCAAATTGTGGAAGCACGAATAAAATGTGTACGTGGATGGAATGTCGCAGCACTATTTTGAAAGTATTCACATGTAATAAACATATTAAATGATGACACTAACAAAGGCAGAAAGAAGTAATGCATTAAAATATACATCTGGAGCAAAATATGTACTCCCGATGGACATTTTAGTATATTAGAGTAGCAATTACGAAGTGCAATCATATATAATTGTTGCAAGGAACTTTAAATTCATACAATTTTAATTAATGCCATCACAATTTAGAGGACTGTTCATTACACCAAAAATTAGTCTTTTGTTTTGGTCAACGCATCATTACTGCAGAATAAATACATCCATTGTCAATAGTAGTGGGATTTTCTTTCTATGTCAATAATGGCACATGGCTTTTTGTTCAATACCTACTAAGTAGATCAGTCTTGAATTTACTAGACTGCAATTTCTGTGACCATAAGTTAATAATGTAGAGATTGGTTATATAGGTTAACGTTACGGTAGGTACATGTGTTATCGCACAACACCAGGAAAAGTGTTTCTATTAATAACTCTGGATCGCCTTTTGCACTATTTTATGTTCGCGTAGATTTAACGAAGTGCCAACCTAACTGACTGCGGTGACTTAGGCAGTGTACGTAGGTAGGTACAGACATTTCCAATTAATTAATTTGGTAAGCCGATGACCGTACGTATTCGAAATAAACGAAAAGGAGTACAAATCATTACTTCTCGTAGTGTGACACTAAACCACGATAAAAATGTGTATTTGCACTGAGAGGCCACATGGCGCATTTCCAAAGGCAGTAATGCTGTAATTTAAGTAGTCATAAAATGCGTTCCGTTTTTTGTAAAGAAATTATTTAAAAACTACACATGTGAAACCTCTCAATTGTAACAGCACACTTGCCCAATCGGAACTATTAAATTGCAAATAGCATTTTATTTTAGTAAAGATATATTTCAACGTTTAAAAAGGTCTTGTTAATTTTAAATATATTATATCATTGAGTGTAGTAAAAATGTCTATATAAAATATTGATAATACTTTTGGCAGTTTAAAGGTGTAGATTGTGTCATAGTACTCTTGTTTTTATGAATTTATTTAACTAATATTAGTACAATTACATTCATGTATTTCAATTATTGCAAATCAACATTGTTTACTAGTTTCTATAGTTGAATAGCATTAAAAAATCTGTATGATTTGTTATTTGATGAAAATATTTAGAAACATCTTTACTAAATTAATGTTAGTAGGCAAAATACAAATGGTAACTTAACTATTTTCCAGATTGAGCAGGTTCTGTGTGAGAACTGAGAGGTCATGCATGTAGAGGTGCACCTTTTGTACTTATTTCTTATTCAGAACTCATTTTACAACTACTTGTTAAAGTATGCAGTACTGCTTCTGCAAATAAGCGATGTACCCTCTCAGTACACACACACACAGAAAAAATACGTGAAGATTTGCTGATGGAACGACGTTATATTTATTTTTGGTTTTAAATGTTTCATATTTCAGTAAATTTGTATATTGAAATTCGAAATATTTAAATGCCAAACGTGAGATTATTTCTAATAATATGTGGAAGCAACAAAATTGCACGTAAAATAAAAACGGCAAAGTTTAAAGTGGTAAAGTTTAAATAATGTGAATTTAATATGTAAGAAAAAATATTAGCAAATTAAGGGCAATTTTGGCGATAATACAGGTAAGTGCTCACAAGAAATAAAAATTAATGAAATGAAAATTATTTTGATGCAATTGGGACACAGGCTAGACCTGAGATACGCTGTAAACGTAGGAATGGATCAACCAATAGGTAATCAGGAAGTTGAGGGATGGGGGACGCAACAGAAGAGGGATGCGCAGTGTCCGCCAGTACCGGCCCGCCGGATGCCGGCGGCCCGACTTGCCTAAGCTCCTCCCCTCTCACGTTACCATCACACGCGAATGTCTCTAAAACTTAATTATAATTTTATTATAATCTAACCTAAAATTGGAAATTGAAATAAGAATGTAAACATCCTTAAAATATTTTTGCCGAAACTTCCATATATTATTATCACAATTATTATATAAATATCTAAGCTTTAATTTTGATATTATCCACTTAATCTTAATCTCTCATAGTTAAATATCTCACTTGGCACAAATTATAACGCAAATCGTATATCTGAATAATAAAACATATTACCACAGAACCAAACAATACGACGACGCTGTACTCTCACAACGCTACGGTATCGTCATAATTTCAAAATGCTTCGATACAAGAAAACACTAAGCTAACAAAGAAAACGATCAACAAATGTCACTTACAAATTAAAACTCATTCGTTTCCTTACTCTCCAACAATTACTATTATATCAAAAATATTTATATCCATTAAAATGGACAAATACCATTTCCGTAACGCGAGAGCATCACTTGCGCAGGGGCAGCGCAAGTGATGGCGCGGCGCGGCCCGTACCCGCAGCCTGGTGTGCGGCGGCGGCGGCCGGATCTTAGCGCATGCAATCGCTCTCTAGTCTAGTCAAGGCTCGTCACAAGTCTGCCGATTCACACGACCGGCATTCATTCTTTGGATTAGTTACTTAACACCCAACGCACTATTCTTCAATTCAACTATTGTACATCATATTTTCATCTTCATGCATGCAGAAATCCATGTATCGTTAAAGAAATATTTCTTAAAAATATACTCGCAAAGCATCCATTCGTCCATTGAGCCTCCTTGATAAAGCAATGCTCTATTATGAATATAAGTATATTCCATGTAGGTTTACATCCCACACACCCTTTTCAGATAATATTTAACAGTGTAGTAGTGTGACTTTAACAGATTAATCTATTTATTGTAACAAAACTAAATATGTACTTCTTTTCGTTTGTATATGTAATATTAATGGTACGGTTATAAAGTTAGTGTTATTAACATGTGTATATTGTATAGAGAACAAAACCATTATTATTATTATAGTTTGTGCCATTTAGCATGTCAATAGTGTAATAATTCGACGGCGAACGATCGCCGATTCCTATAAATCTGTCGCAATTTTGACATCGCTTGACCAACATAACTTTTCAATGAACAATAAAAGCCAATACCTATAAAAAAATGTGAATGTTTAATGAAAGCAAACAATATAAACTACGTTACAATAATTTATACAGTGCAAAATAACTAGAATTTAGTTTCTTTTGCTTCAAAATTTTAAAAATACAAAATGTATCATAATTTTAATAAAAAAAATACGCTCTTCTACAAGAGGCAAAATTAACGACTCTAAGCGCATGTCACGTATTAACTATGGCTGAGTACGCTTGCACTCCGTCTAGTTTCAGAAATATTCACGTTTCAGTTTTGATTCACTTAATTCGTTTTTTAAATCAACAATGATCGGATTTTGACAGTGACGATTCAGGAGGTCCACTCTCGTCCCCCGTCAGACATACCTCCCAAAACAATGACTGTCAAATAAGTAATACTCGACAAGGTTTAAAAGACAATGGGCCTTACCATGAACTCTTATTACAGTATAGTATATGTTCGTAACGACAAAAAAGCGGGATAGTGATATACACTTCATATAGCGCTGTCTCACAACGATTCATTTTAGGTCCTAAACTGAATCGTAATAAGAGTTCGTGGTAAGGCCCAGTGACAGGTATAAGGCTCGTTTGCATCATGCGTCTCTTTAGTTGATTGAGTATTACTTATTTGACAGTATTTGTTTCGGAGGTATGTCAGACGGAGAACGAGAGTGCAGGGCCTGATTAGTGTTTATGTTATATAATACTCGATTACTACCCCTTAGGTCATCTATACTGCAGTCCTAATTAAAAGTGCAGTAACTAGCATTTTTACGAAATTGAGTTACAACGAATAATCGTTAACACCAAAACAAGATCTACATTTGGCTCTAACTCACGTATCAAAATTCCCATCGGAACACTGTAATACAGGAAGTAAAACTGCAGTAACTTAGTACAATGTATAACATTTGCTAATTTAAACTGCAGTAAGATTAGTCACTATATAATTATGATAATACTATATAATTTTTGAGTCAAAGGCGATGGAATTCTAGCAACAATCGCAGTATCTAATAGTTGCTGCACTTATTTATGTTTTACAACCTCAACATACATATATAAATATGTCACCTTACAATACTTCATTATTTTACCTTTCTATTGATATATGCCATGTTGTTGTAACTTGCGTAGTTTTGAAGCTAGAGTAAATTTTAAATTATTTTCTTCCACCACGTTTTTCTCGAAAACAGGTTTGACTTAGTTAATGCACTGTTTAGTTAGGAGGGCAGTGTACGTCACGTTGATTATGACTATAATAAGAGAGTTTTCACACGTAACGTATAGCGTATACTGTGATAGGAAGGGGTGAATGATCGCTATTGACATTCTAAATGGCACTTAGTATACCTATTGCATTTATGTTAACGCTTACGAAGCAGATTAACGGTATGAAAACAATATAACAATTAAATATATTCACGGCACTAATCATAACTGGCACTATAGATAAAAAAAATTGTGTATATGAATAATATATAATATACATATTATATCAATATATACCTATTCAAATATTAATCGTCAACATAGATAATCCCCGGATAAAATATGTATTTATCAAATAGTATTTAATTACAATTCACTACAATAATATAATTGTCAACAACATTTGGACATATGCTGCCAACAAAACAGCCTGTCTGTGCGGTACCATATGGGAAACCTAAGAGCCGAGCTAAAGTACACGACAAGGGCGAATGTAGACAACAGCAACATTAGATTACAATAAAATTGATGCTGTCGTGGGAGGAGTTTTCTGACAAACCCCGTTCTTGTTGTGTGGAACAATACGGAAACGGTGATGGATTATTCGTAACAAATAGATACCTAGTTCTAAGATGTGTTTCGGTACACCGCTGACAGCACTGCTCGGTGGCATATAAATAGCAGGAACAATTATTGAACTATTGATATATGTATAAGATTTAAAATCCACGCGCAAGTAATTCAAAGACAAGACTGTTATACCCAATAAAGACGCGACGGAATTTGCTAAATGGGACCGATCGATGTTGAGATGTGGTAACAAAGGTGAGTGGTGAGGTGGTGGGCGCACGGATTAGGAGGTTGTTTACTGCTGCGCAGGGGGCGGCTGCGCGGCGCGACGGTGACGGCTCGGGGCGCTGGCTTGGGCCACCATAGCACGAATGCGCCGCTGAGCAGACTGAAACAACAAACATCGTTTCACTATTGTAATACAAATCATAACAGAGCCATAACACTAATCCGGCTGGCGGTGTAAACAACTATATTTTAATGTAGTTGGTTTAAGAATCATGAAATTCACTCGCATTTAATTTAAATAAGCCATATTTTTTCTTTTTCTAAATAGTATTACAACACTTAAGTCATTAATAATATTTAAGCGTAGTCGAGTGCGATATTCAATATACTGATTATGCTTTAAAAATATTGAATGACAGGTCCGCTCGACGAATTAAGGATTTCATTCATCCATACAATTTGTATGCACAGTTTTTAATATTTTTTAAAACATGTGAATTTTAGTTGGAGCTTTGATTCCGCTTGGAGCACAATGAAAATTAACGCCTGAGCTGCACCTCAAGAACTTCGATTTGCAATCTCTATACAAAAGTTAAAAAACTTATCCATTCAATCACCAGTCATGTAGTTACAAAGTCCAAATTGGATGTTTAATAAGCATAAAACCAACCTAATTGTTAACCTCGCGTAGCAGTCGTTGTCATACAGAAAAACTTAAGAACTCACCTATAAAGTTTCAAAGACACAAGCCAATCGTCTTAGCCATCATTACGTCACACATTGAAGGGATTGAATCCTTTTAACATGAAGTTTCTCCATAGTGTCAACCCGCATCAGGAGATCGCTACAAAAATTTAAAAACCTTGTTATGCCAAAGTCTTGTTGGGTTGTACTAGAATTCGCTTTGCGCCAGCTGATATAATTTCACTTTAGTATCTGCCTACACAATTGGACTTGGTAACTACATGCGCACAAAAGCGTCACACACTCACACGCACACTCACACTCCTAAAACATATAGTCGCTTTGCGCATTAATACGATTTTGTTTCTTGTTCTAATCATTGTAAATATTACATCTAAAATGCTTCGACTGGTAAGCATTCGTGTGCACAATTTTTATTCAGAGATTATGATGTCGAATCCTTTAATCAATTGTTTAATACAAATTTTGTTTAGATTAGTAAAGGTAAGTCTTGAATTTGTTTCCTAGTTTTTCATAATCTCCACAAAAATCTCTAGAACGTCTAAGAAATTACTATATTTATCAGCATTTAATAACCAAGCTATTAGGTATCTATATAGATTGATTTAACATTAATATAATCAATTTTCCATCGCCTCTCCCGCATTTCTTATTCTTTGTTCCCTGAACGTGTTGGCTCGGTCGGTGAGTTGATAATAACATCGTTCGCAGCGCCCGCAACGGACAAATTTTGGCATGACAAATTACGCATAATTACAACTCTATCTGAAAAAAAAAAAAAATAATGTACCTGGACGCTATAAAATGGTCCGACGATGTGCACGGTGGTGTCGTGATCCTGCTGCTGACCGCCCTGTTGTTGCGGCTGTTCCGGAAGCTTAATCAAGGAGCCAGTGACGCGCTGCAGCTCGCGCACGTTCTGTCCGCCTTTGCCAATGATGCGTCCCACTTGTGACGATGCTACCACGATCTCAACGGTAAGTCGCACGTCATCTGAGCCAGACATGAAGCCTTCCTCTCGCATCTTCTCGAAGATCAAATACTGCGCCTGTAAAGTAAAGGCAATCTTAATGAATGAATGAATTTTTGGCCGATAACACTATCTTTACTCATTCAAATATCAAACTTAGTGTAACAGTACTCAATAAGAGTACACCAAGGGCTAGTGTAAACCAGCGAACGGGAAGGCATAGGTCATTAAATGAATGTATACGTAATGCTACTAGAATTGAAATAGGGTACAATTACAATGCCCTGAGGCTGACCTATTAGCAACATGGCGCATTTTGTTTTGTGCTCTCTGCGTCTCAGAAATTTAAAACTTCGGAAATCCTAATTTTAAAGCCTTCTTCAAATCCTTACACTTAGATACTGGTTCGATTAAAATTTAAATTAACTTATCAATTACTAAAATTTAATTGAATGAACCAAATCATATTTTTCGTACATTTGAAAAATAATCTCACATTTGGAATAAATAAGATAAATTCTCAAATACGAATTTAAGATGTTATTCAAATTAATATTAAATTGAAATCTTTAAAGTATACGATGAAAGTGTTATTTTATTCCATTCATTGAGTGATTGCTTCAGAATTTAACCCAACCCGGTTTTGTTTACTTTTCTGTATAATATAAATGCGGGCACCACGGTTTCCATGAATTTCAATCAACTCCGAAAATTAATAGAATGCGGTGTTTTATTAAGATTAGATTTGCAAAGCATGGGCTGAAATTAAGTTTGAAATCTACTGGACGCTCATATGCCAAAATTTTAGGGCCGTATTCTAGAACTCTACTCAATGCTCAAGTCAGGACTTGAGTATGGTTTAAAGCACTCGAAATCATACTCAAGTCCCTGCCATTAGGGTCGTATTTCCAGTACTTGTGTTTCCAGTGCAATCCTGACTTGAGCATTGAGTAGAGTTCTAGAATACGACCCTTAGTGTGTCCCCCTCCCCAGAGACTTGAAGTTTGAAACTAATCATCTTACAATATAAGTGAGTTTTTTGTTCTTCCTATCATTTCTTAACAAACTTGTATCGATTGACAGAGAATGTACATTAGACTAACCTTCCACTGAGCTTCTGGACTGCCCACGATGGTGACTTTGCGTTCTTGTTGGGCATTGTTTTGGTTCTCGACTTGCTTATCCTGTTCAAGAGGTGCAATCTTCACAGAGGCATTACTGAACCGAATGATGTTGCGAATGTGGGATCCTTTGGTGCCAATGATTGCTCCCACAGCATTGTTAGGGATGTACAGGTATGTTGTTTCCTGGAGTGATCAAAACAAAATTTAACTGCATTCCTGAAATTCATTTCGACGCAACTCTTTGACACGATGTATTCTTAGGTATAAGATGCGATACATTTCTGTATAAAGTCTCACCTGCGAGTCGCCAGCTCCTTGTTGAGCACCGCCCTGACCAGCCAGTGGAGCATAGATGGGCGGTGGGAATGGCGGTGGTGCTCCGCAGAAGCGTCCCGTTGACATCATGGCCATAGGATGGAGACCCGGGAACATTATGCTTTGAGGCGCCAGCACCTAGTTTACAAATATATTTAATAATATAAAATTTATACATAGTGAAGCACTATGTCAATAAATTTTAAATTGTGACAATCAACTTAAGATTACCTGTAAATCATTTTCGTAACTTTGACGCAGCTTAGCCGAAATTTGTGATTCCGCTTTGGCCATGTTTTCAATTGTTCCTTTAACGGTAATAATCCGCTCTAAATTAAAACTGTTGATGTCATTAATAGAGGAAACTGTAATCTTCGTGTCGGTCTCCTGCATAATTCTCTTGATAGTATTGCCGCCTTTGCCTATGATGCGTCCAATTAAATTGTTATGTGCCAAAATTTTTAAGCAGATTTCCCCTTTGTTGGTATTATTGGCTTCCTGCTGCATGACTTCTAATATTCGCTTACAAGCATTGGTGCAGTTTTCAGGATTGCCATAGATTGTAATGGCTTTTTCCAGAGAACCAACATTGTCCTTACGGTGCACATCAACGCGAGCACGGCTCTGCTGCGTAATAAGACGAATTGTGCTTCCCTGGCGGCCAATAATAGCGCCAACCATGTCACTCTGCACCAGCAGCCGCAGGGGGAAATCAGTGGGCCGCGAACCGCCACCGGTGGCACCACCGCCGCCGCGGCCGCCGCCGGGACGTCCGCGACGTCCGCTTCGAGCATTCTGCTCTGCTGCTTCTACCTTCATTCGGCTACCTTCGATTTCACACCCATTCAACCCATTGATAGCTCTGTAACAAAATACGGCAAATTAAATATACGATCAAAACCAAGTGCTCCTCAATTTCACTTTATAATTATGACGAATACAGATTACAGTCGATGGAATTACGGAAAGATAATAAAAGGCGACAGTCATCCTTAGCGATTGAAATAAATATACAAATAAATACATAGCCATCACCTGATGTATAGTAAGTACTTTAAGGATTCTTGGACGCAGATTCCTCACGTTTGTACTCAACAGACTTAATCATAATCAGGAGATGAAATAATCGAGGGCCATTTTTCCAATTAGGTTTAGCCAGAAACAAATTACTTACACCTAATGACTGGACTTGGGTTAAAAAACTATCACACACCATGTACAACGTGTACTGCATGCTTAGTAATCATTCTAAAAACATTGTGAAAGCCAAATTAAAATAAACTAGTCCAATCCTTTTCCTATTTACTTACATAAGAACAAAATAATAACAAATCAAAACTTGTACATACTTACAAATCCAAAATTAGAAATCATTACGAGTATCAACCACAACAACGATATATCCACGCAAATTAGACAAAACTCTGATTAGAACCCAAAATAGGAAGAATTAAGTGGACGCACATTTGCCCGCGCAATTTTCCGGGACCAGCATTATGGGATGTCTTTGCACAGCGGCGTCAGCAAAAGTTAAAGTACGAAAACAACAAGCCATCTAACACCGTAATATTCATTACTCACGGAAAAAAATTATATGCATTTGACATATTTCCGATCTGCCGGATTCTCGGTTCAGTGTATGGGAGTCATCGGAATTGCATCGTTACCCATTTATGCAGTTTCAGTATCACTGTGGCGAAGCTCTCGCATATGATTGGCTGTTTAATCTATCTTGTGACGAATAAAGACACAAACAATTGGTAGCAGACAATTTTTTTCATTTTGTGCGCACACATTGATGCCATTCCCGATAGCAGTTTAACCTCGGTTATGAAAATACCACGCGGGCAAATACGCGTTCACCACGAAGATCGATTTCCAATATCCACCTTTAATTTTATTTCGAAGTTACTAAAATCAAGCGAGGAGATAAGCGAGACGAGTAAATAGTAAAAGACTCATGCAACTATGAAAGACAAAAGAAGGCTGAACTGGGAAGACAAGCGTGTCCAAGCGTCCGGTCCAGACAGTTGCGAAAACAATGCAGTGACCAAGAGTGCCATCAAACTTATACTCACTGCTGCGCTTGCTCCGGAGTCTCGAACGTGATAAACACCGCTTGGGTGTTGGCATCGCGTGTATTTGCTTTGTCGCAATGTAGCACGTTGCCATACTGTGAGAGTAGGGGCTCGATGTTGTCGAAGCGAATATGCAGGGGTAGCCCACTGATGAGTACCTTTGAGGACCGGCTGCGAGAAGCGACAAACTAATTGTATACAATTTTGTGTAATTTGTTCAAAAACATCAAAGTAATTACAATAGAGTTGAAACTGGGGTTGCCAACTGTCTCGCTTGAACTTATGATTCGGTAAGGGTGCCAGAAGGTAGCCATTTGAAACAAATTTGAAATCGTGTTTCAATAAGCACCGCTTCCCTAAATTCGCTGTTGACTTCGACTCACGAAACAACATTTTTCTTTTTCTTTTAGTTAAGAGTACGATTTTCTGTAATTCCTTGATTCTTGGGTCCTTACGTCATAAAATAAATCAAATACCCAAGATTTTGAGGATTGGGGTTACACTCGGCCATCACGCGAATTCCTGGTAAGGAAATCTGATTGCACAAAAACTTGCGATATAAAATTCCCGTCAAGAAGTTAACTTCAAAGTCAGTGAAATATCTAATTTAATACATTATCAAAATTGTACTTTATGTATGAATACTAATGTATATTGTCATATCTATCACACTTTATACATAATAGCAAATTAAGAAACCTTAAATAAAAGTTGTTTCATAGAAATTTCATATTCCTTTCGTCAGGCCAGTCGTCATTTGAGTTGTCGATTTTTTTGTTGATTTGATGACAAAGTTGGCAACCCCAAATAACCCATTCAGCGAAATAGATTATTTAAAATAACTTGGAATTAGAGCGTGAGATTCCTAGAAGACATTGCAGATTGTGTAGGTACCTATAAATTTCCATTTTTTTTTAATATATTCCCTACTCTACATCGATAAACTCGGCAACTTGCGTCAGTAATGAATGTCTTTCTGATAGTCATGAATAACCTTGGTAATCAAAATCAAATAAAGGTGTGCTTAAAATAGTGGTGTTTTGTATCTAGTTTAGAAGTCTATAGCTATGTGGGCATCTTCATTTTGGTACATAGGCATGAAAATTATGACCGTGTAAACATTATGCGACGACAGGGCATTTTGATCCAAATGTAGTCAAATCACTATGGCATTTTCTTGACGATTCAGCGTTGAGAAGAACACGCACAAGTAATGATAATGAACGAAACCGATTTTAATAAAGAATACTGTTAGGGAAGATATTGTAATACTGTGCTGTTAGTATAAATGAGATGGTGTGAGCATATTTCGTAGATAATAATTAAATAGTGTTTGTAACGAAAAATATAAAAAAAATAGTAGCGAAACAATGTTTAGTTTTTGAATTATTTTTCCACATTTGAAGAGACTTCTTGCTTACTTAATACACGCTAAGGAACCCTAACTTCCTGCGACCACTGACACGCTTCGTAGAAGTACAACTAGTTATCATTTTTAACCGACGTCAAAAAAAGGAGGCGGCTCTCAATTCGTCTGTATGTTTTTTTTGTATGTATGTTACGCGATAACTTCGCCATTTGTGAACCGATATTGATGATTCCTTTTTTGTTGGAAAGAGTGGTATCTCAGAAGTGGTCCCATTTAAATTTGAAGAAAATATTCCACCTCTAAGGGTGGTAAACTATGGGATGAATGACTTTTGAGGTCGGTTTTTTAACCGGAGGTTGGGTTATTAAAAGCAAAGACATTATTATTTTTAAACATTAGTATACCTATCAATAATAACAGTTTATAAGCTGGCAGTGTAAATATTGTCAGATGGGTGTTGGCGGATGTCGCATGTTGTGTAACCAAATACCTTCGACTAGAAGTTTTCAATTTCACGTAAGATAAGAAACTCATCTCAAGATAAGAAACTCTCTTATTAAAAACTTTTAAATTTGACATTTCCTTACAAACATGTAAGTCTGTTTAGTACAATTCAATTAAATGTAGCTTATATCAAGATTTTTCAATTCTTGAGCAGACATAATCCAAGACATGACTTTTGGTATGGTTTCCACATTTGCTTACTATTATTTATTTAAACTTTAGGTTTTCAACTGAGCAACTTTGTAAAAGGTGCGAAGAAATTATTTCAGACTAAACAGAGTAATATTACCAACGATGGTAGTGATTATCAATCGCGGTGTTTTATGCCGGCGTGAGTGAGTAAAGCACCAGAGCGTGTCGTTCGCTACAAAATGGCGGAGCGTACCGGAGATGACATCATCTTTGCCCACGTCACTACGCTCGCAACTCTAAAGATGCGGCGCGCCGCGCATAATCTACCTCCCCCTCTTCGTCTGACCTGCCGCTTCCTCCACTTTTATAGCACCATTCACAACTTCGTTCGATTGCACTTGCTTGCTAACCAGAGACGGGCAAGCGCGCGGGCTTAAACTCGGCACTTTTTTTAACGCCGGGTTTTAATGGAGTTAAAACCAATTAATGCCCGAAATCGAGGGCAAAAACTATTTACAACTAAATACTTGTGTTCAAATGTAATGATATTACTCATTGACTTACAAATAGATGGACGACGGGTCTAATACAAAAACCACGAAAAAAATGTCCCAAGTCAACCTATTCGAAATTTAAATTGTTATGTCATCGCAGTATCGCGCTGTCCGTAGAACAAATGAAGACTAAAGCGGAGTGTCGCGCTCTGTATACGATTTTAGCGCCTTACAAGTGCGGACACTTTTTAGCGCGGACCCGACGTCCTTATAATTGTAAGTCAATGATATTACTACAAAATGTTTAATGTTGCTTACATTTTCAGCGTTTCTGTTGAATTGATTCGCTTGAAAATCGCATTGAAACGAATCAGTACAAAAACGCGTTATCGTATACACTTGGAATCGATTTTTATAAAATCGAATCGTAACGTGAATGCCTAAGTGAGAGTCCGCAAGATTGAATGGTGGGTGTTGTGTGGAGTTGCCTCCATTTCGTCTAAAAAGATTTTTTACATCGAAATTTCTAATAAGTATAGAATTATACCAAATTCCGTATTATTTTACGCCCAAGATTTTGGGGAGAAATGGGTGAAAACCCGGTTAAAACCCGGGCGGGTTGATTGGGTTTTATTTACCCCACTGCCCGTCTGTTGCTAACCCTTCTTAAAAGTAACCAACCTACCCACACCCTACAAAAATCAGCAGCGACAACAATATCGGTTTCGAAAAATTTTATTATGCCCCAGGCGTACTTACCTAACCCTTCAGTGACTATAATTGTTCTGTAAACTTTTATGCTATATGTAAGAAGAAAAACTTCATTAGACTCGAGCAATTGATTTTTAGAAAATAATTCTTAATTCGGTATAGTTATAATAATATCGCATACACTCAACAGCCCCGCACTAGATAATTCCCTGTATCGCGGGTGCCATGGAAACATACACATGGACAACAACAAATTACACCCCAACTCACGAGAGAAATAAATGTAGACCATAAAAATATTTCTCCCGGCCCGGGAATCGAAACCGGAAACTCTGCCGTGACAGTCCAGCATGATAACCGTTCGACCACGTAGGCAGTTACAGTTTAATTGTAGTGGAAATGTTACTTATTTTTATTTACTTTTTTAAAATTAGTACCTTCTTACGTATTGAAGATTTTATAATTTCATTACTAAGTTAATATTAGATACTATTTATTATACATAGTGTCCTCCAGTAAATAATGGATAACGTGGTAAATAGTATTATCACTTATTATACGTAGTATACATATATATTATGATATGTGTTACAATGAAAGGGCGAGCACGTTGTAAGCGGTAGCGACAAACTCTCAGTACAGAGTACTGAAAAACTCGACCTCAAATGTAATCCATGCCCTAGGTAGCCACCCTTAGGTGTAATATTTTTTTCAAATTTAAATGGGACCACTACAGAGGTACCCTCTTTCCAACAAAAAAAAAATCATCAAAATCGGCATACAAATGTCGGGGTTATCGCGTAACATACATAAAGAAAAACAGTCCAATTGAGAACCTCCTTTTTTTGAAGTCAGTTAAAAAATCTACTTCATGTTAGCGTGACAGACCCACGATCACACACGTCCCCGCGCTGTTATGCTCTGGCCACACAGAGGTGGCCGCGGAAGAGTTTCGGGCGCAGGAATTTTTCTTATGTACGAATTAATATGAACCCTGTCACACTGAAACGCTTGCGCGACCGCCTCTGTGTGGCCTGAGCGTTAATGTGAGTGGGGTCGTTACACCTCGGACTTCCAAACGCTCTTAACGTAAATGGCACAGAGTTGTGTTTATATTTTAACGTGGGTGTGAGTAGTACGTCATGACCCTGTTTTCACACAGAAAAGACTTTGTTTTGTTACTAATGTATTTATTTGTGCAAATATAAAATAAACAGCTCATTAAAAAAATGTTAAATGGAACGACGCTTGCATGACTTATCCAATTGTAGAATGATTCATTACGTCGATATGATAGTTTGTTTGTGGTGTTACTAGGTCGATTATTCCTACTATCAAGAGCAATAAAAAGATAATGTAAACAATGTTTGCGCACTTTTGCGCACTCTGAACGTGATGATTTGTACGGGATAAAACAGCAGCACAGCGGCGACGGCGTGTGTCGCTGCCATTTTCCTCACCAAACTACTCTACCCTTTATAATTTTGTAGCAGTGTGGTATAACAATAAGTAACTTTTTTGTTAAATTATTAATGTAATAAAGCTATACATTTTTTCATTATCGCCTTCAGTGCAACGTAACAAGATGCGTCAATGTGTAGCTTATGTGCTGCCGTCTGTACAGTGGGCGATGTTTTTTTGACGATTTTATATTTTCATCATGAAGTTGGAAAAAGTGCCCAAGGAGCTTGATATGTGGCTGTGTCTACCTACATATGGAAATGAGCATTTTACATTGCGGACACAAGTATCATCTAGCTAGAAAGAAGTTTTTATCTCTCATAATTTGAGTTTGCAAAACCTTCCGACTATCACAAGTGTCAGATTTTTGGATCTTGGTAGAAATTATTAATCAGAGAGCGATAAATATGTTTAATGCGTATCGACATAGGTATCAATTTACTCTAATAATATACATTGTATAAATCTAAAATTTTTAATAGGTACAGTCAAAGAGCACG